GCCCAATCTTCAACATAGGAAAATCGGATTTGAGAGTGGACACAAGCTGTTTGTTCCTTCAAGGCTGCAATAGGGTTAGGGTTCAAGCCTGCCCTACCGTTCAATAAAGTCATGGCTAGCCCAGTTGTGGTCTCAGCTCTACTCTCCAGACCACTCCCCCCATAACTGTTGAGTGCCTTGTCTATCTAAAATCTTGACCAAATTTAAGGAGCCATCCTCTACCATCTCGTGACAAAGAAAACCCCACACTCTTGCAATCACCTGAGACAAAATCTCCTCGTACTTCTTCCTAAACTATGTCACCTAATTTTACTTTCCCTCAGAAGAGGAAAGTGCCTCTACCCTGTCCAATCCCTTCAAGATCTTATATTATTCAATAGGATTCTTTCTTACAGTCATAGAGTCATACAGCACAGAAACAGACCCTTCAGCCCAACTCATCCATGCCAACCTGGTTTGCTAAACTGAACAAGTCTCATTTGCCCATGTCCCTCTAAACCTTTCTTGTCCATGTACCTGTCCAGATGTCTTTTAAATGTTGTAATTGACTTGTCTCTACCACGTCCTCTGGCAGCTCGTTCCATACATCTGTGTGGCACCACCATCTGTGTGAAAATGTTGCCCCTTAGGTACCTTTTAAACCTTTCCCCTCTCGCCTTAAACCTACGCCCTCTACCCTGGGGGAGAAAAAACCTTTGCGATTCAGCTTATACAGGCCACTCATGATTTTATAAACCTCTATAAGGTCACCCCTCAGCCTCCCCTGCTCCAGGGAAAAATTCCTCTTCTTCTCAGGGCCAAAGGTGTTTAACTTTTCCTCACAGGTCCTTCATTGTAGGGAGGAGTTGAGTGAATTGTTACTAACGCAGTTATAACCTTTTCAACTGAGAACACAAAGCCTGTGCACAGTACTCCAGATACAGTTTCACTAATGCCCTGTTCAGTTGCAGTAAAACTTTCCTATTTTTATATTCCAATTTCCTTATTTGCAAAAAATTGGGAAAGTTACTTAAAGGGAAAACAGTGGATAGGCAACATCAAACATCCAAAGAGCACATGGAGAAATAGCAACAATTGTTCATTCCTGTGTGGCACAGAAATAAAATCAGAAAGGGGGCTTGATCATTGGCTAACCTTGGAAACTAGGGTAGCACAGATTCAGGGAAGGGGCATACAAAATGGCCAAAAAAAAGCAGCAGATCTAAGGATTGAGAGCAATTTAGAATTAGGCAAAGAAGGACAAGGGGATTGATTAAGAGGGAAATAAAGTACAGGAATAAGCTTGCAAGGAACATGCAAACTGATTGCAAAAGTTGCTATGTGTACGCGAAGAGAAAAGGATTAGTGAAACAAATGCAGGTCCCTTATCATCAGAAAAATTGGAATTTATTATGAAGGTTTGCAACCTAAAATCCTAAAAGAAGTAGCTGCAGAGATAGTGGATGCATTGCTTGTAATTTTCTAAAAGTCCTTGGATTCTGGAGAAGTACCAGAGGATTGGAAAACTGTTAATGTGACACCCCTACCCAAAAAGGGATGGGAGCAATAAGTGGTAACTATATGACGATTAGCCTAACATCCACTGTTGGAAAAGAATTGGAATCAATTATTAAGGAAGTAATAGCCAAAGATTTGGAAAATCATAATCTAATCAAGCAGAGTCAACATGTCTTCATGAAAGTGAATTCATGTCTAACTAATTCATTAGAGTTTTTCGAGTAAGTCTCAACCAGAGTGGGTACAGGGGAACCTGCGATGTGTTGTATTTGGACACCCAGAAAGCATTCAACATAGTACCTCACAAAAGGTTAAATCATAAGATAAGAGTCCACGATGTTGGAGGCAGTATATTGACATGGATAGACAATTGCTTGATGGGCAGAAAACAGCAAGTGTGTCTAAGGGGCTCTTTTTCAGGTTGGTAGCCAGTAACAAACAGCGTTCCACAGGGATCAGTGCTGTGATTGCAACTATTTACAATCTATACTAATGACTTGGAGGAAGTAGCCAAACTTGCAGACAACACAGAAATAGATGGAAAGTCAAATTATGAGAGGGATACTATTTACGAAGAGGTATTGATTGGTTAATTAAGCATGCAAAAATTTGGCAAATGAAGTACAATGTGATAAAATGTGAAGTTGTTCATTTTGTAAGAGAAAGTAAAAGAACAGAATATTATTTAAATGGAGAAAATCTATAGAAAACTACAACAAAAGGGGACTGGGGAGAGACTTGGGCATGAAACACAGAAAGCTAGCACACAGGTGCAGCTGGTAATCAGGAAGGCGAATGCAATGTTTGCCCTTATTTTAAGCAGGTTGGAGTATAAGAGTAGGAAACTGCAACTGTACAAGGTGCTGGGTAGAGCATATGTGGAGTATCGTGAGCAGTTTTGGTCCCTTTATTTAAGGAAAGATATTGTTTCATTGGAGGCAGTTCAGAGAAGGTTCACCAGGATGATCCTCTGTATGGAGGGATTGTCTTATGAGCAAAGGCTAAGCAGGTTGGGACTTTACCCACTGGAGTTTAGAAGAATCAGAGGTGGTTTCATTGAAATATATGTAGGATTCTTAAGGGGTTTGCCAGAGTGAGAGGATGTTTCTCCTCATGGGAGAGTCAGGGACCAGGGGGCATAGTCTCAGAATTAAGGGGGAGGGGGCAATAAAGGGCTGAATGGCTTGCTCCTGCTGTTGTGTTCTATGTTTCCATGTTTCCTTACAATTAACACCAATGTTCCATTTCTTTCCCTAATCACTTGGTAAACCCGTATACTAACTTTATATGATTCGTGTTACAGGCACTCAGGTCCCTCTGTACCTCAAGAGTTCTACAATCTCTCTCCATGTGAATAGTACAATGATTTTTCTATTCCAAAGTGGACAATATCACATTTCCCAAAAGCAAGCAGTAAAGTTACTACAGCAAACCAGTTCCAGTGAGCAGAACAAAACTCACCAAAACTAAAATAAAGTGCATGCAAGAGACACCACTCAGAATGGGTTCAGAAAATATTTACAAGTATGTTGCCAGTGTTGGAGGGTTTGAAATACAGGGAGAGATTGAATTGGCTGGGGTTATTTTCCCTAGAGCATCGAGGCTGAGCAGTGACCTTATAGACATTTATAAAATCATGAGGGGCATGGGCAGAGTGAATAGCCAAGTTCTTTTTCCCATAATAGGGGTGTCCAAAACTAGAGGGCATAGGTTTAAGGTGAAAGGGGAAAGATTTAAAAGGGATCTAAAGGGTAACTTTTTTCATGCAGAGCTTGGTTAATGTATGGAACGAGCTGCCAGAGGAGGTGGTGGAGGCTGGTACAATTTAAAGCCATCTGGATGGGTATATGAACAGGAAGGATTTAGAGGGATATGGGCCAAACGCTAGCGAATGGGACTAGATCAGTTCAGGATATCTGGTCAGCATGGACTAGTTGGACCGAAGGGTCTGTTTCTGTGCTGAATAACTCTGTGACTCTAACTGTCCCAAGCCCAGTAACAAAATTCAAACAATAGCATCCAAATAAACAAACCCAGACGAAACAAAGCTAGAACTCTAGTTCACTTTCAATAAATGAAGGAGCTCATGTCCTACAGAGCCAGGAGGCTATGGGTTCAAGCCCCAATCTAGAGGCTTGAGTGCTGAATGTAGGCTTGAACTTTCTGTGCTGTAGTGAGGGAGTGGTACACTCTCAGTGGTGCACAGTTTCCAATGAGATGTTAACTCTGTCCTGTTGGGATGACATTAAAGTTCCTGTTACACATTTGAAGACAGGTTCACCACATTGCCTCATCCAATTCTTATCCAGAAACAAATGATCTGGTCATTAAACACAAAAGCTAAATGCTGCAGATGCTGGAGATCTGAAATAAACATGGAAACTGCTGGAAACTTGAGCAGCTATGACAGTTTCTAGACAGAGAAGCAGAATGACAATGGCCTGAAAGATAACTTCTGTTTCTCTCTCTGCACACTCTTCACTGTCTCCAGTTTCTGTTTTTACTATTTGTTCAACACCTCATTGCTCTTCGCGGGATCTGGCTGTGTGCAAATGCATAAGATCATAGAATGGTTGCAACACATTCAGCCCAACATGTCAGGGTTGTCCTTCTGCAAGAGTGATTCAATCTATCCCACTTCCCCACCGTTACCATGTGGTTCTACACATTTCTTCTGTTTCAATCTCCTGAAACAATACTTAGCCCTCCATCATCATCACAGAAACAGACTATCCGTCATTAGCACCTTGTTGTTGTTCAGCACTGCTATGTTGCTTAAATTACAATGCTGACAACTCTTCAGAAAGAATTTATTTAGCTGCAAAGTGCTTCAGGACATCCAATGGTTGTGTGAAGGCAACACTTTCTTTGAGAAGTCAGTGGGAAAAGTGATTTGGAGCAAAACACCAGCTGTAATCCTGTTGAGGAGAGGCCAAATGTTCTACTCCTCATATGTCCTTGTGTGAATACATTCTGCCTGCTTCCCCCGTCCCCTCATTTGCTGAAATGATGTGGAGATGCCAGTGATGGACTGGGGTGGACAAAGTCAGAAGTTACGTAACACCAGGTTATAGTCCAACAGGTTTATTTGAAATCACAAGCTTTCGGAGCACAGCTCCTTCATCAGGTGTTTCAAATAAACCTGTTGAACTATAACCTGGCATCGTGTGACTTCCAAATTTGCAGCAATGATTAGAATTCAAAAGTGTTTTCTTGGCCCAGTAGAGTTTGGAGAATCCTATCAGGTTCTGTACCACACAAAACTCCACATTGGGAGAGGAGACCATTCAAGTGAAGCCTCGGGTGAGTAAACAGCAGCTTCAATAGCTGTCACTGGCAAAGCTGGAACCTCCACATTGGGAGAGTTGATGGGTGAACTTTCTCAAAACTCACCTAATGGCCAACGTATCTGTTTTCTCACTGACCATCAGCCTGTGTCAGACTGAAAAGAAACCTTTGTTCAGGAAATGTCAGTAAATTAATGGATCATCTTTTTATTTCAGGTAACTGCTTCTGATCCCCGGAATCAAAGGAATCAGCCCAGCAGCCCTGAAACAACAATGTGCCATTCAAATTCTGAATTTAAGCATCAAGCCAGTGATAACCTCAACAGCAGACAATCTAACCCCATCCCTCCCCAGAGACAGCCCACTGATCACCCAAACCCCAGGCCTATCCCTCCCCAGAGACAGCCCATTGATCACCCAAACCCCAAGCCCATCCCTCCCCAGAGACAGCCCATTAATCACCCAAACCCCTGGCCTATCCCTCCCCAGAGACAGCCCATTGATCACCCAAACCCCTGGCCTATCACTCCCCAGAGACAGCCAACTGATCACATGACTGACACGAAATATACAGGTGACTCCCCTTCAAATATGAGTCACTCTGACCTGCTTTTCCCAGCTCTGAACAACTCCCATCACTCTCCCAGGACCACACGTGGGCAGTCCCTATCACAGGGTCAGTTCATGCCCCACAGACACATAATCTGTTCAAGGCAGTTTGATGAGAAGAAGACAGTGGAAGGTGCTCAGTTGCCGACCGAGGGAGAGGTAAGAGAACAGGAAAGTGGCAGCTTTGATCTACCTATAGAATATATGACTCCACCTCCATATGCTCCTGGATATTAACCCAACCAAAAGATTGTGAAGATGTAATGTTACTGATAAAAGATGTCTGCCTTTACAAAGAACAAACAACAAAGAAAATTACAGCACAGGAACAGGCCCTTCGGCCCTCCAAGCCTGCGCTGATCCAGATCCTCTATCTAAACCTGTCGACTATTTTCCCAGGATCTGTCTCCTTCTGCTCCCTGCCCATTCATCTATCTGTCTAGATACATCTTAAATGACGCTATCGTGCCCGCCTCTACCACCTCCACTGGCAACGCGTTCCAGGCACCCACAACCCTCTGCGCATATCTCCCTTAAACTTTTCCCCTCTCACCTTGAAATTGTGACACCTAGTAATTGAGTCCCCCACTCTGGGAAAAAGCTTCTTGCTATCCACCCTGTCTATACCTCTCATGATTTTGTAGACGTCAATCAGGGCCCCTCTCAACCTCCGTCTTTCTAATGTAAATAATCCTAATCTACTCAACCTCTCTTCATAGCTAGTGCCCTCCATACCAGGCAACATCCTAGTGAACCTCCTCTGCACCCTCTCCAAAGCATCCACATCATTTTGGTAATGTGGCGACCAGAACTGTACGCAGTATTCCAAACGTTTGAAAATTGTTAAAATTGTTTGAGTCAGTCCCGAAACAAATAGTGGATTATTGTAGTGCGCCTTTGCTTGCCTCCCACCTGCTGTCTTATCTCCCTCTCGAAAGGAACCTGGGGACAGGTCCCCCTGACCTGGTGAAATCTAAAATAAAAACAGAATGTGCTAGAGAATCTCTGGCAGCATCTGTGGGGAGAACAACAGAGTGAATGTTCCCAGTCCCATATGAGTCTTTAGTATTTTGCTTTTAACTGGTGAAGGGGAAGAGCTGAGATTGGGGTTGGATCCGATGACTCGGGCTGGGATTTCTATTTTATAAATCCATGAGTTTCAGATGGATAGAAAGTTCCAACCATCCACATTATTAAATGTGATGATAAATATGACAATTCAATGTTTCCACTTAAAAATAAAGTTGTCATTTGTGAGTCCATCAATCTCATGGTATTTCTGATTTTAATGAGAATAATTAAATAATGAAGCACAGAAACAGGAAACAGGAGCAGGAGTGGGTCATTTGGCCCTTCAAATCTGTTCCAACATTCAGTATGATCATGGTTAATCATCTAACTCTGTCCCCTGTTCCCCCTTTCTCCCTGTACCCTTTGATCCCTTTAGCTCTAAGGACTATATCTTACTCCTTTTTAAAAACACCTATCCCCTATCCTTGTGAATTTCAAGGCTGTGCATGCACACAGCTGCTCTGATGTTCTGCCCACGCCGATTGAAGCGTTGACTTTCCATTCTTAGGAAGAGTTGCACATAGTGTAAGAAAATGTTTCCTCCCTTCTTCTCTCTCCCTTTGTAGTTATTCTACACCCCCACCCCCAACCATTTTAACTACCCAGCTTAGGAGTAGGGAAGGAGCTGGGTCACAACCGGGAATCATGTGGCGGGAGCTGAATGTGCGGGTTGTGCCCTGCAGCAGTGGCAGGAAGAATAAAAGGGGAGCATATTATCTAAAGATGCAAAGAGATCTGGGTATCCTGGATCCTGAATGCAAAAGGTACAGCAACTATTCAGGAAAACTAATAGAATGTTGTTATTTATTGCGAGGTGATCTGAATACACAAGTAGGAAGGGTATGCTTTAATTATGCAGTTGAAACCACATGGAATCATACAGCACAGAAGCAGACCCTTCGGTCCAAACAATCCAGGTCGAACATAATCCCAAACTAAACTAGTCCCATCTGCCTGCCCCTGGCCCAAGTCCGTCCAAACCTTTCCTATTCATGTACTTATCCACATGTCTTTTAAACATTGTAACTGTTCCAGCTTCCACTACTCCCTCACGAAGTTCATTCTACACGCAATCCACCCTCTGTGTAAAACAATTTGCCCCTCAAGTCTTTCTTAAATCTTTCTCCTCACTCCTTAAAAATGAACGCTTTAATTTTGAAATCCCCCATCCTAGGGAAAAGGCAACTACCATTAACTTATCTACCATTAAATTATCCCTCATTAAACTACCCCTCAATATCTTATAAACTTCTATAAGGTCACCTCTCAACCTCCTATGCTCCAGTGAATAGAGTCCCAGCCTATCTAGCCTTTCTTTATAACTCAAATCCTCCATACCTGGCAACATCCTGGTAAATTTCTTCTGAACCCTCTCCAGCTTAATAATATCCATCCTATAACTGGGCAACCAGAACTGGGCACAGTATTTCCGAAGAGGCCTCACCAATGTCCTGTGCAACCTCAACATGACTTCCCAACTCCTATACTGAAAGGACTGAGCAATGAGGGCAAGCATGCTAAATACTTTCTTAACCACCTTGTCTATATGTGACGCAAACTTCAAAGAACTATGTACCTAAACCCCTAGGTCCCTCTGTTTTACAACACAGTCCCAGGCCCTACCATTAATTGGACAAGCCCTGTGTATAATATTGGTCATTTTATTTGAGGAAAGATGTAAATGTGTTGAAGGTAATTCAGAGAAGGTTTTCTAGACTAATGTCTGGAATGGATGGGTTCGCTTAAGGAAAGGTAGACAGGCTTAGCCTGCATCCACTGGAGTTCAGAAGGGTAAGATGTGACTTAATAGAAACATATAAAATCCTGAAAGGTGCTGACAGAGTACACATGGAGAGGACGTTTCCTCTTATGGGTGAGTCTAGAACAAAGGGTCACTATTTAAAAATCAGGGTAAAAGATCAGGAAAACTATTTTCTCTTGGAGAGTCATGGTCTTTTGGAATTCTCATCCTGAACAAGTGGCAGAAGCGGAGTCCTTGAACATTAAGGCAGAAGTAGATTGATTCTTGGTAAGTAATGTGGAAAAGAGAGGGAGAGGTAGTGTGAAAGTTTCAGGGCTAGATGAGAATGCAGATATAAGTTACAATCAGATCAGCCATGATCTCATTGCATGGGTACAGCAGGTTTAAAGGGCTGAATGGCCTACTCTTGCTCCAGTTTGGTATATTTGTATGTTCAGATGTCCTAATGAGAGCACAGTGAGAAGTTTTAGCAAAAACGTAACTTTTTTTCCATAATATGACACGAGGACAACAAGCCAAACTAAACTAGCCTCCCCAGCCCTGGATTTGGAACAGAGTAAAATTTAAAATATTCAGTTACCCCAATCACTCCATTTTTCTTAATCAGGCATTAAAAATAACAGATCAGACATCAAGTTCATAACAGAAATTAATAACTTATTATTAATAATGTAACTTTAGCAGAACACAGATAAACGACAAGGCAATCTGCTTAATATCTATGATCTCAAGCCCAATTTTCTCAACCAGAAGCCCCACTCACTGACAGACACAGTTAACAGGTAAATTAAAAGGAAAAGAATGAAGAATTGTAATTTGCCAGTTTAACAGTTTCAGGGTTAACGGAGTTGTTCACAGGCAAGCAAACTATAGGCCTTGCTTGAAATCTGAAGTCACCGATTCATGCAAATGGGTTCAAGAGCCTTCCAGGATTATTCGCCCACTTCTGCAGTAGGTATTTTCTTATTGCAACAACCAACAAATTGACAACTGCAGCAAAATCCAAAAGGGGGAGAGAGAGAGAGAGAGAGAAATATGGCAGCACTGTCACACTCATAGCTTCAAAACCCCAGTTGGAACTAGTTTACTCTTCTTTTTTCTCCTTTCTTTTACCATCATTCTTTGAGAGAATGGCTGGCCAGCATCGATCTGTCCTTTGATTGGCCAATTCAACATCAAACACGTCCTAGTGTCAAAATGTCTGTCATGTTCTTAGCACAATAATGAATCTGCAGTTATCTTTCCAGGCCAGGTCCCATTAACAAACATTAGTTGGTTTCCTTTTTTCTCCCTTCCTAAGCAAGCTTCTGCTCAAAGTTCAATTCTCAACCTCAGATTGCCATTCCAAACCAAAAATGAGATGCTCTCATCATCAGTAATATTCAACTTGTAAAGAGTTGCCCCCCTCAGATTGCTGAATCAGTTTCACAGATTATGACTTCTCCCTGGAAAATTGAAGTGAGAAATGAATGGGGCAGATCCATGCAAAAGGAGTATAAGGATAGGGAATCCTCTACCTCAGGAGCTATTGAGGCAGAGACTAGACAACATTTCCGAAGAAATCAGGTAAGGATTTGGAAAGGAAGAGCAGAAAAGTGCACAGGATTAGATGGGGAAATGGAATTGAAGTACTCAGCCCTAAATCAAAGAGCTAGAATGAACACAGTGTGAATGGGCTGATTGGTCACTTGGCCAGTCTTGCTAAGGTAGGAGATGTTGAATTGTTCCTGGTGGCTCCCCATGTCTGATCACATCATTCTGAATAGGCTTAGGATGGACATTGAAACAATTTTTCAGTTTGCAGGTGACACTGCTGATTCTGGTCCGAGCACCTCAGATTCGAATGTGGAAAGTGCTGAAAGAAAATTAAAATATCAGTCTCATTCAGACTCATGCTGTGTTAATAACAGAAAAACTCAATGAGGCTTAGTCAGGCTGTGCACTTCAACTCAACAATAAAGTAACCACCTTGGTAAGAGTCAGCTAAACATCCTTGAGTCCAAAGTTCTGGCAGTCTGCTTCCAAAGCACCACAAGTGACAGAACACTTACACAGCACAGCCTCCAAAGAGCAGTTAATAACTGGAACTGCCAAGGCCCCTCCCAAGCAAAGACCAGGGCAGAGAATCAGAACCAGATCAGATCCCCCATCAACTTGAATTGATCCAATTGTAGAGAACCCGAGTGAGTTTGGATTGAGTTGCCAGACACAGACTGATGAAACAGTGTATTACCTGAGGAAATCAGGTGCCCGGATGATCATGTGCTGAAAATCTTCCAGCGAGAGTTTGCCATCATTATCCAGATCTGATTCATCGAGAACCTTCTCACAGACCAGATTGACTTCTTCTGGTGTCAGCTCATTTCGAGTTAGTTTGAGCAGTGTCTTCTCCAAATCCGATTTGCAGATAAAATTATCATTGTTAAAATCTAAGTGTCAAATGGAAACCGGCTTCAATTTTCAATGTAGCTTCATGCAAGATCACAGCTGGAGCACAATGAGAGGTGACCACAACTGCCTAACCAGCAGGAGCACCTGGTAATAAAGAAGATTATACTTCCCCTCTCTGCTTTTTGAAAGCTAGTCCTGCTCCCCTCATCTTTCTACATCACTCTTCAAATTTTTCCTCTAAGTATTTATCAAATTCCCATTTGAAAGTTACCATTGAGTCAGTACCTACAAATCTCTCAGTTACTGCAAATCACAAATACATTTGTTATTTCTTCTGTCATTTTCTAAATTGATCCACATGTTATTGGAAACCATGAGGCAGAAGTTTAGGTGGAGAATGGTGTATGCAGAAGCATCTCCTGCCACCAAAGGGCGGGCAGTGAGCAGCCACAGGTCTGAGAGAAGCAGCCCCATGGTAAAGATGCACTGAGTCAGTAATTAGATTTCCACTACCCTTTGTATAAACTCTGGTTTTAAAACATTAAACTTGAACATATTTCTAAGGTGTAAAGTTGTTTCCACATTTTGTGGACATCTCAGTACAGGATAATTTCCCTCTGTCAACCCTATTGAACCCTTAAATCACCTCTAACAACTCCATCAGATCACCCAGGTTGGACTTGAACATGACCATCCTAGCCCTGCACCATAAGATTCTCTGTTGACATTCTATATCGACAGAAATGCACGCCAAGTCTATTCAGCCTGCCCTCACAATTTAACCCAGTTAGCACCAGAATGTTCCAAGAGGGCAGCATTCCGACATGTCCAATGGAACCTGACATTAAAGAGGTTTCATTTCCCAAACCACGTATGGAGTTCCTAGAGACTCAATTCCATGAGTTGACTTTTCCTACAGTGAGAAAAAGTGTGAAGCTCCTTATAGAACAGTCTTTGACACCAAATACAGACCATTAATTGTGTAGCTATTTCCTAATCAATCTGTTCAGAAGGTGGGACTTGAACTCAGGCCTCTTGGTCCAGAGGTAGGGACACTACTACTGAACCATAAGAGTCCTAATGTTAATTGTATATCAAAGTCTGTGTAATTATACTCAGAATGAGTGCATTCACTGGGTCTTCATCTGCTTCCAATGTAGAGACACATATGGAAATAGGGATGTGGCTGAGTTTGGAGGGATGAGTTTACAATGTTCCATTCTGTAAATAAATATCAGACTGAGTAAAGATTGGCTTCAGTTTCACCTTACATCAACTGAGTTTCCAGAACAGCGAGTTGGAAAATCTAACATCAGCAAAGCAAGAGAAACCCTCCTCTTATCAGTATCAAGCCAAACTCACCATAAATCTTAAATGCATAACATGCCTTCAGGTCACGTGGGGCCATTTCACTTAGTACGGAGAACATATCCAGAAAGTCATCCAAAGTCATGTTTCCCTCATTGTCCTCAGAGAACACCTCTGCAATCCTCTGGCGGAATGGATTATCCTGCAGTTACAGAACAGTGCTGGAGTGATTAAACAATTGGGTAAAATTTCACCATCAATTCCATCACATCAGGTTTGAACTAAAGGGTGAGGAGCATGACAGTGAAACACACTGAGTAATTGGCTCACTCATTACTGGAAAAATATTTCAGTTCATATTAATAAAAGTGATTTTGGGTTGGTTTGTATGTGATGGCTTCAGATGGAATCAAAATGGTTGATTGGCTGTGGAGAACTGAAAGGATTTCAAGCTATTTTTTATTCAGTTTGGTTTTGTTTGGTTTGGTTTTATTTTTGGAGATATTAGTAGCAATATTACTGGACTTGTAATCTAAATGCCTGGACTAACATCCTTCAGGAGGCTTCAAGGATTAAGACAAGTTGAGTTAGTGGCCAAACACAGGTCAAATGCATTTAGATATGAAGTTATATGCTTTAGTGTGAAAAACAGAAAAGGAAAGTACTGTTTAAATGGTGATCTGTTGGAAAATGTGGATGTACGAAAGGATACCCAGATCTTTGTACACCAGACAATGAAAGTAGATGGGCAAGTGCAGCAAGCAATTAGGAAGATAAATGTCATTGCAAGAGAATCTGAGTTCTGCAGTCGTACAGGGCCTTGGAGTCCACACTTGGAGTATTGCATGCCATTTTGGTCTCCCTACCTAAGGGAGGATGTATTTGCCATAGAGGGAATGCAGTGGAGGTTCATTAGGCTGATACCAAGGACGAACTATGGGGAGAGATTGATTTAACTGGACCTGTATGCACTAGGGTTTAGAAAGTTTAAAGGGGATCTGTTTGAAACATATAAAGCTAACAGGGCTGGAAAGACTAGATAAAGGGAGATAATACAGTGTGGAGCTGGAGGAACACAGCAGGCCAGGCAGCATCACAGGAGCAGGAAAGCTGACGTTTCAGGTCAGGACCCTTTTTCAGAAGGTCATTTTCTGAAGAAGGTTCCCGACCCGAAATGTCAGCTTTCCTGCTTCTCTGATGCTGCCTGGCCTGCTGTGTTCACCAGCTCCACACTGTGTTACCTCTGAATCCAGCATCGGCAGTTCTTACTACCTCTAGATAAAGGGAGAATTTTCTTTTCTCTGTTGGGGAATCTAGAACCAAGTGACACAATCTCAGAATATGAAGTAGACCATTTAGGACTGTGATGAAGAAAGATTTCTTCACTCAAAGAGTAGTGAACCTGTGGAATTCTCCTCCCATGGAAGGTTGTGTAGATCAAATCACTGAATGCATTAAAGAAAGTGATAGGTAAATCTCTAGATGTTAAGGGCATCAAGATGTATGGGGAGAAAGTGGGAATATGGCACTGAGATAGAGAATCAGTTATGATCATATTGAAGGGTACAGCAGGCTCAAAGGGCCAAATGGCCTACTCCCACTCCTAGTTTCTACATTTCTATGCTTCATCTATGAGTTCAAATCCGATTACAGCAGCTGGTGGGAATTTCAATTCAATTCATGAATAACTCTGGAATTATAATGATCATGAAATTACTGGATTATCGTAAAGCCTCCATCTGACTGACTGCTGTCTGTTTTGAAAGGAATTTTGGTGTCCTTAGCCAGTCTGGCCTACATTTGATCCCAGCCCCATAGCAATGTGGCTAAGTCCTAACTGCCCTCTGAAATGTTCAAGTAAACCACAGAGTTTAAAGGAGAATTGTGAGTAGATAATAAATACTGGCATATCATCGGGTTGTTTGGAGTTCAAGGTGATTTAAAACTGTTGGGTTTTTTAGGCCTGCACCTGATGCAAATTTAATAAACAGGCAAATGAATTGATAAATGGAAAACACATCGAATGAATGCAAATGCACACACATGACCAGTAAATGAACTGCTCTGATATTCTTCTCAGTTTCCACCTCCCAACAGACAGAGGATGCGTTACATTTTTGAGCATGTCTCCTAGCCACTGATGGGTGTCATGTTGCTGGAAAAATATTCAAAGTCTCCTGTCAATTAGTACAGGCTGAATTATTCATTGTGTACCAGTGAGAGTACTGTTGGCATAACTTGTGGTTTCCTGCACTCGAGCTACCTTCAGTTCTGGCATGCTGCCAATCAGCTCATAAGGGATAGTCACATCAGGATTGTCCTTGTAACTGAGTGGTACTAGATGTGGAGCCAGGTCTCGGTAGCGGTGGAACAACCTGCAACGAGAGAGAGAGAGAGAGACAGCTCAACATTTTAATGTAGATGCCAAAGAAAGGAGTTTGGCTGTCACTCCTTCATTGACTTGCCTTGCCATGCCACGCCCACGATTCCAAAACACAGAACTTTACAAATGAATGTACAAAACAATCACCACTGGAGATAGCACCACAAGCTACTGTTAATTATTTTGAAAAGAATAATCTTGTGGGAGGAGCCTCTCAACAGACCCCCCATTATAGACAGCAATTGATCCCAGTCAGCCGATCCCACAATGGAGCTGAGTGTGAAATTGTAGTGTATTCACATCCTGTTACCAAGTCACAGCAACAAAGATATCTCCACTTTTTACTTAACCTTGTTCCTTATTCTCCATAAATTGACCAAGGAATCAGTCCAGAGACCAGGCTGATACTAGGTATGGAGGGATTGTTGTATGAGGAGAGGTAGAGTAGGTTGGGCTTGTATTTATTGCAATAAAGAAGAATAAGAGGCAACTTTATTGAAACATGCAAGATTCTTAGGGACTTGACAGAGACATAAAAATAAAGTTGATACTGTGCTAATAAGTGTATTAGATATGCTTTAGTATTTAGATTTTAAATTAAAGGCGGATGGATGGCACAGTCAGTTCTTGTGAAGGTAATTTTTTGAACAGGTCAGAAGGTCGTTTGGAACAGTGGCCAAACTGCATCCATTCCAAGAAATTATGTGACTGCAGACAAATGTCTGGAAGAACCATCACATTGTCAGTGGATGTGGTATAAATGGCTTTTATGCTGCTGAGTTTACAACAGAGCAGAAAGCATTTGAATTCAGTTCAGAGAATCAGGAGATCACTTCAGAAAAAAGAACAATTTTCTCCCAGCAGGAGAACAAAGCTTATAGTGCAGAAGAGCCAGTGACCTGAGCTGAAGTGGTTTCTAGTTTGTGGAGCTTTCAAGCCAGGTGAGTTTAGATAGAAATTTTCAAATTGCTAGAACTGAGGAAGTTTAGGCTGTCAGAATTGTGAAAAGTTCATTCAATGGATCTGGAAAGGAATCATAATTTTTTCATCACAGTCTAAGGAAAAGAACCAGGTAGGAATCAGTTTATTTTACAGGGAGTTCATGGAAATGTTTCTTTGTAACTGGGCGGCATGGTGGCTCAGTGGTTAGCACTGCTGCCTCACAGCACCTGGGTTCAATTCCACCCTTAGGCGACTGTCTGTGTGGAGTTTGCACAATTACCCTGTGTCTGTGTAGGTTTCTTCTGGGTGCTCTGGTTTCCTTCCACAGTCCAAAGATATGCAGGCGAGGTGGATTGGCCATGCTAAATTGCTCATAGTGTCCAGGGATGTTTAGGTTAGGTGGGTTAGACATGGGAAATGCAGAGGTAGGGAAATGGGTCTGGTTGGGATGCTCTTGAGAGGGGCAGTGTGGACTTGTTGGGCTAAATGGCCTGTATCCACACTGTAGGGGTTCTATGATACATTTAAATTTACTGAAGAATTTAGAGCCCTTTGGTTGTGTTCCTAGCCCTTTCTGTTTAACCCTTTTCCCCATATCTGATTAATTAAAGTGAAATGATTGTAATTATGATAAATCATCAATTTGGCTTCAGTTTTATGCTAACTAATTGAGCTTGTCTTGCATGATTGCTGATTAATTAGTTACGTTAAAATGAAGACCAAAAATTTAGTGATTATAGTGACTTCATTCCTTGTGCAATCATGATTGCTTCTCCCTCCTGCTATTATCAGTCACTCACTGATTTGTGTTGTATTTGTCATCCTCATCCAACCACCCCTCTGTTGTTCCTTCTATCTCTTGCTGGATTATTACTGTTTGACACCACCTCCCCCCCAATTAATGAGATTTCTTTCAACAGTTCGTGATCTCTTTCGATGTTCACTCCTTAAACACACAGTTTGAGTTTATACTACGCTTTCTTGCTTTCCATCTTTATACTTCATGTTCCTAATCCACAAGCCCAACCTCTGCCCCTCATCCAGCCTGCTCTACTCATAATAATCTCATCTCTCTATTGACTAGTTTCTTCGGTAAATATTCGACTTTGGTACCCACCTTTGGAACTGATGGTCTCCTATTGATATCAGAACTGATCTGCTCATCATCAGACACACTGTCAATTATGGCAGTTTGATACTTGTGGCTATGTGACATTCAAATGAGAGGAACTTGGCATTTGACTTTCTCCTCTAAATCCCATTACTCCTTCAGAATCTGCAAATTTTTAATCCATACCAAGCAATGTTGAAGAGTGTACCTAAACAGTCTGATTCCCATCTTTACCAGTAACCCCTGGCCTCCCCATTTTTTAAGCTCCTTTCTCCCATAATTAACCATGTTTCCCAGTTGAAACTGGTTTCCAATGACTTCACCTTATACCTTAAGCCTTGCTGAATTCTTTGAGACTCCGTTTAATGAAAGGCTTTCCAGCCAGTGCATTCAAATGCTCTGGAGAAATAAAACTAATTGTAGCCTTTTCACAAGCCAGGGGCTGATCACTTTTTACTAACGGCACTTGAGGATTCCACCAAAAATTCATTGATATGGACAATATGCTCCCACTATTTTCAACAAACTCTTACCATGTACAGCCCACACCAGTGCAAATGATAATTTATAGTTTGGCTGATTTGCTAAAATCTTATGAATCATTTTGTCTACTGTTAGATGATTCCTTTCACTAAAAGGGCTTTCTGCTGCGATATTTATAACTATTATGTTCGTATTCACACATGTATCTCTGAATCCATCATTAGCAAACTAATTCCCCCAGCTCTTTATCAACCTGTCCACACCGTCATCAAACTATCAAGCTCTAATTCTAAAAAAAAATGCTTGTGATACTTCTGTGCAGTAATAGAAGTGCCAAGGCTATACCTAGTTTCCTCTTTGATAAAGACATAACACATGTCCACATTGCAACCTTATTCTTCCCTGGGCGTGAGACTAATTTTCATAAAATGGATGGGTAATCATACCCCTAAAACTTGATATTTTGGCTCAATTATCCTTTGCTACCAATGTTATATTCCAAAAGATAACTGTATTCAAATAGAATTCAAGTCCATACTGTAATGTGAGAGGTTTATTTCAGTTAGCGACAGCCCATAAGTCTCACGTTATGAGCTTCGATACGTGTACAACCAACCTAAACCAAATTAACTGAATTTGAATGTCCATCCAGTGTTCTCTCATTCCATCAGGTCTCAGCCATTCCCGCAGACCATATTAGATGATAACGCCCCTCACTAAAGCAGCTAACAGTACAGCCTTCGCCTCTCCTGTTCCAACATTCTGCTTTCTCCTTCCTTTCCACCATGCCTCGAGGTGTTTCTCCACGTCCGTGTTACTGACACCACTGGGAACTGTGGTTGGCAGGTTCTTATCTCACTAGCCAGTTAAGGCAGGAGCAGTAGCTGGACAGGAGCCCATGTCTGTGATCATTTTCATCTGTCAGGACAGAGACACAACAAGCACCTTCAGATGCTGACAGCCAGCACTAGCACAGGCAACTGATGCACATTACTCACCTCAGGATTTCCTTCCGAGTGAAAAAGGTACAATCCTTTAAAAAGATTATATTAAACATGTTGTTAAAATAAAATCAATCCACGTTGAACAATGACAATGAAGATGATATTATGGATTTACATTCTAGAGAATCCTCAAAATATTTCTTGCTGAGTAACAACTCTTAAAACCAGGAAGGAGAAGCTCTGAGGAGACGCAGGGCCTAACCATGCAGGAGCAGAGGAGGTTTTGAGGCAGTGAATGGGAAAAGATTATTTCCTCTGGTTACGGAGGCAATAATGAGGGAACAATAATTTAAAATTGTCGCTGGCACAGTGATGGGGAGATAAGGGCTTTACCCAAAGGGTAAAGCATACAATCATTTTCCTCTTTGCGGGTTGAGGCAAGACCATTGCATCTTTATCCCTTTAAGTATCTTATATTCCTTTTAGACACTCCTTCCCACGAATACAAAAAGGCACAATCTCCCACAGCCTTGCATCTCTCTTCTGTCTCCTAGGACATATTTAAATGAAATGTAGTCAATGTCAGACAATCTACAGCATAATTTTGGGAAGGCCAACTGGTTTAGAAATCTAAAAATCTTTATTCGTACTTGTATTAATGCTTTGTTTATTACTACGTTTATACCGTTTGGTTACAGTGAATGGCCATGCAAGTAACATACCCTGAGTGCTTCCTGTTTAGCAAGTTTAACCCCAGCACATGATTCAGTATTACCTTTGACAGATGTAGTGATCGGAACCAGGTGGATCTCAATTATTATGCGATCCTTGATGGCCCAGATTAACAACTCCAATCATGGAGTCCTGGCTAACAGATATAAAGAGGAGTTTCAGAGAGTCTCCTGACTTGAGGTACTGACTCTGAGCTGGCTGGTCACAGCCAATGTACTGCACACATGTAAGTAAAGTGTGACGCAGTGACAGGATACTGACCTCTGTGCAGTTATTTCAGTAGCAACAGGAGAAAACAGTGTGTGCCTGATTCACTCTGGACTCCACCCTTAAGTTTGCCCAAGACCTTGGCCAGACTGAGAACATACACCAGGGAACCATTACAGATTAAGGATATGACTTCAGTTCCAGTCTACGAGAAGCGGTTAGTGCAGTTACCACTGATTGTAGTAAGACATTCTAGCCCAAACCTATTGGGGCGGAATTGGTTGAGAAAGATTCACCTTGATTGGCTCAACATTTTTCAATTAGAAAATGGCTGCCTTAGCAAAATCCTAAATAAATACCTAGTGGTTTTCAGGAAAGGTTAGGGACTATCAGAGGGGCCAAAGCCACTTTACATGTTGACCAGGAAATAATTCCGTAATTTTGCAAGGTCCGCCCAGTGCCATTTTGCCTTCCAGCCAAAGAAGAGGCATAAATCAGGAGGCTAGAAAATTAAGGATTCAGCAAACCAGTGGGTTTGGGCTGAGAAGTGGCAGATGGAGTTTAACCCTGAAAAGTGTCAGGTGATTCATTTTGGAAGGACAAACTTGAAAGCAGAACACAGGGCTAACGGAAAGATTCTTGGCAGTGTGGAGGAGCAGAGGGATCTTGCGATTCATATCCACAGTTCCCTGAAAGCTGCCACCCAGGTGGATAGAGTTGTTAAGATGGCATATGGTGTGTTAGCTTTCATTAATAGAGGGATTGAGTTCAAGAGCCATGAAGTTATGCTCCAGCTATACAAAAGCCTGGTTCGGCCACAGCTGGAGTATTGTGTCCAGTTCTGGTCGCCTCATTACAGGAAAGATGTGGAAGCATTGGAAAAGGTGCAGAGAAGATTTACCAGGATGTTGCTTGGAATGGAGGGAAGGTCTTACGAGGAAAGGTTGAGAGAGCTAGGGCTTTTCTCTTTAGAACGACGAAGGATGAGAGGTGACTTGGTAGAGGTGTGCAAAATGATCAGAGGTATAGAGAGAGTGGACAGCCAGAGACTTTTTCCTAGGATGGAGGTAGCTATTATGAGGGGGCATAGTTTTAAAAGTGAGTGGAGGTAGATATAGGGGAGATGTCAGAGGTAGGATCTTTACTCAGAGAGTGGTAGGGCGTTGGAATGCATTGCAGGAGAGGGTAGTGGAGTCGGCCTCATTAGGGGCATTTAAGCAGCTATTAGATAGGCATATGGATGATAGTGTAAGGTAATGGTGGAGGTTAGATAGACCTTAGGTTTAGGGTAAAAGTTCGGCACAGCATCATGGGCTGAAGGGCCTGTACTGTTCTATGTTCTGTGTATATTCAGTGTAATTTGCAGAATGGGCAGCACTGGTCATTCCAGTTGTGAAGTCTGACAGGTTAATTTGTCTTTGTGGGAATTTTAAGCAAAACGGTAAACTGCTTCTCACAGCTGGATAATTACCCAATTCCTCGCATAGAGAACTTATATGCAAAGTTGGTAGCCCTTCACGAAGCTGGACTTGAGCCAAGCCTTTCTGCAATTGTGACTAGATTAGGAGTTCCAGAAGTATGCTACAATTAATACCCAAAAGGGTTTGTGCCAATATGCAAGACTGTCACTTGGGGTATCATCAGCCTGAACTCTTTTCCAGCAGACAATAGAGATGATTTTACAAGGGCTGCCCCAGGTTGCCATTCATCTGGATGATGTGCTAATAACCGAGAAGAGCAATAAAGAGCACTTAGAGAACTTGGACATAGTGCTTAAACATTTCTCCCAGGTGGGCATGCACCTTAGATGAGAAAAATAGGTGTTCCAGGTGCCCCAAAACACTTTTAATAATTTTTAAAATTTTAATAGTTTTTAAAATAATTTCATAACCCAAGACTTGGGTTACAGAATCGACAAGACCAGGTTACACCCATTGGAAGATAAAGTGAGGGCAACCAACGGTGCCCCAGCTCCCATGTCTGTATCAGGGCTTAGGTCTTTCCTTGGGTTGGTGAATTATTATGGAAGGTTCATACGTAACCTGGCCTCCACCTTGGCACCCTTACATCTGCTATTGAAAATGGTTCAGCCTTGGAATGGTCACGTAGCCAAGAAGACCTGACCTTGAAGTTAGAGTTCTAAATTGGAAGACCAGTTTTGATGGCATAACGCACAAACTTTAAAAAGTTGATTGGGGATGGATATCCACAGGTTAAAGGATGGCCGGGAAGTAGGAAGCCTTCAAAGATGACAATGAGAATCCAAAGACAGTAGTTTGAAGGGCAAGGTTAGTAGGGGTCAGGTGTGCTGGATGACTAGATAAATTGAGGCTCTGGCCAAGAAAAAGAAGGAAACATATGTCAGGTGTAGACAACAGGGATAGAATGAATCCCCTTAAGACTATAATGGCAGTAGCAGTATCCTTAAGAGGGAAATCAGGAGGGCAAAAAGGGGACATGAGATAGCTTCAGCAGGAGAATCCAAAGGGATTCCACAAATACATTAAGAACAAAAGAGAACTAGGAAGACAATGGGGCCCCTTAAAGATCAGCAAGGCTGCCTATGCGTGGAAGTGCAGGAGATGGGGCAAAAACTAAACAAGTATTTTGCATCAGTGTTTACTGTGGAGAAGGTTATGGAAGCTAGAGAATTTGGGGAAACAAACAGTGATATCTTGAAAATGCTAAAAGGTGGATAAATCCCTGGGTCCTGATCAGGTGTACCTGAGAACTTTGTTGGAAGCTAGGGAAATGTTTTCTGGGTGCCTTGCTGAGATATTTGCATCATCAATAACCATTGGATGAGGTGCTGGAAGACAGGTGGTTGCCTAATGTGGTGCCATTATTTAAGAAATGTGGTAAGGAAAAGCCAGGGAACTATAGACTGGTGAGCCTGACATCAATGCTGGGTAAGTTGTTGGCAGGGATTCTGAGGGACAGGATTTACCTGTATTTGGAAAGGCAAGGACTGATTAAAGATAGTCAACATGGCTTTGTGCATGGGAAATCGTGTCTCACTAACTTGATTGAGTGTTTTGAAGAACTGACAAAAATTGACGAAGGCATAGTGGTGGATGTTACCTATATGGACTTCAGTAAGGCGTTTGACAAGATTCCGCATGTTAGACTGGTTAGCAAGGTAAAATCACATAGAATACGGGGAGAACTAGCCATTTGGATGTAAAATTTGTTCGAAGGTAGGAGACAGAAGTTGGGGGAGTAGGGTTGCTTTTTGGACTGAAGGCCTATGACCAGAGGTGCGCCTTAAGGATCAGTGTTGTGTCCACTGTTTTTTGTCATTTATATAAATGATTTTGATGCGAATAGAGGAGGTACGTTTAGTAAGCTTGCAAAGGACATCAAAATTTTTGGTGTAGTGGACAGCGAAAAACGTTACCTCAGAGTACAATTGGACTTTGATCATGGGCTGAGGAGTGGCAGATGGAGTTTAATTTAGATAAATGTGAGGTGCTTAGTTTTGGTAGGTCAAATCAGGGCAGGACTTATACACGGAATTGTAAGATCCTGGGAAGTGTTGCTGAACAAAGGGACCTTGCAGTGCGGGTTCATATTTCCTTGAAAGTGGGGTTGCAGGTAGACAGGATAGTGAAGGCGGTGTCTGGTATGCCTGCCTTTATTGGCCAATGCATTAAGTGAGTATAGGAGTTGGGAAGTCATGTTGTGGCTGTAAAGGACACTGGTTAGGCCACTTTTGGAATACTGTGTTCAATTCTGATCTTCCTGCTATGGGAAGGATGTTGTGAAACTTGAAAAGGGTTCAGAAAAGAATGTTGCCAGGATTGGAGGGTTTGAACTATAGGCAGAGGTTGAATAGGTTGGAGTTTTTTTTTCCTGGAACATCAGAGGTTGAGGGGTAACTTCATAGAGGTTTATAAAATCACGAGGGGCATAGATGGGGTAAATAGCCAAGATCTTTTCTCCAGGATGGGTGAGTTCAAAACTAGAGGGCATAGGTTTAAGGTGAGAGGGGAAAGATTTAAAAGGGACCTAAGGGGTAACTTCTTCATGCAGAGGGTGGTGCGTGTATGGAATGAGCTGCCAGAGGAAGTGGTGGAGGCAGGTACAATTACAGCATTTAAAAGGCATCTGGATGGGTATATGAATAGGAAGGGTTTAGAGGGATATGGGTCAAATGCTGGCAAATGGCACTAGACTAATGGAGACTATCTGGTCAGCATGGAAAAGTTGGACCAAAGGGTCTGTTCCTGTGTCGTACGTCTCTATGACTCGACGTAGCCTTTAAGGAAGTGACAGGTGGTGCTGACATGTGATGTCTCTCCATATGGTTTTGGGATAGTGTTGGGTCACCAGAGGCCCAACGGGGAGGAATGCCCAATAGCATATGCTTCCCGGACTTTGGCTCGTGCCGATCACAAATACACCCAGATTGAGAAGGAAGGTTTGGCAGTAATATTTGCTGTGAGAAGATTCCACCAATACCTTTACGGATGTGAATTTGTCATGGTAACACACCACAAACCCCTGCTAGGGCTCCTTAAAGAAGGCAAGGCAGTGCCGCCCATACCTTCTAATGGAATTCAGTAGTGGGCCCTTATTCTCGGTGCATACAAGTTAGCACACCGTCCAGGAGGCCATGTGGCTCATGCAGATGCCTTGAGCAGTCTCCCACTGGCAGATACTCCACTGGTGGTGCCTCAGCTGGAAGAGTCCATTCTGGTTTTAAGCTTCCTGGACAGGTTTCCAGTTCCCACTGATAATATCCAACTGTGGACACAAAAGATCCCATCCTAGCAAAACTAAAAGAGCTGGCGGTAATGGGGGAAAACAGAGGAGTCCACAGGTCAGTAACAAATAACTGGCCTGTCATTCCCTGAGTTTAAGTAAGCAAAAATGGGAAGGGAAACACTTTGGAAATTGACTTCTACTGAAGCAGGAGCAGGAGCAGGCCATTTGGCCCTTCAAGGCTGACCTGCTGTTCCATATGATCATGTCTAACTATACAACTCAGTACTCCGATCCTGTTTTCACCCGATACCCCTTGATCCCTTTAGTGCTAAGAACTGTACCTATCTACTTCTTGAAAGTATATAATGAGGTGCCATCAGTTGCTTTCTGTGGCAGAGAATTCCATAGGCTCATCACTGAGGTGAAGAAATTTCTCCTCATCTTGTATCCTTAGTCTGTAACTCCTAGTTCTGGATTAAGAAGATTTTACAGAGGTTTACGTGAACATGACAAGTTTACATAAGACAACGAAAGAAAAGTTGTTTCCACGATTTGATGGGACAAGGACCGGGGGGACCCAGATTTAAGATTTTGGCCAAGAGATTTGGGGGAAGCATTAAACAGCACATGTCAATGACCTGGAACTCTCTGTCCAGGTGGGTGGTGGGATTGGAGAAAAATAATGATTTTGAAATACTTGAGGGATACTTGAGGGAAATAAATTTTGTGGAGATAATCAAGTGCCAGGAGGAGGATATTTAGGGGACAGTAAACATTGTATCATAATGTTTATGAAAACGATAAAGCATGATGCAGAGTAAAAATGATGAAATGGGGGAAAGGCCAACCTTGATGGAGTAAGAAAGAACCTGGGCCGAGTAAATTGATTGGACAGCTGCAATTTTTCCAGCCAATGGGCTGTCTTCAAAAGAAGAAGGGGTTAGGCAGTGACGAAGAGAAACTGTTTCACTCAGAGTAGTAAGCACCTGAAGTTCGCTGTTTGAAAAAAATGGCAGGGACTAAAACCCTCAACTCAAAAATAAATCTTTGGATATGCATTTGAGGTGTTGTAAGTGAAATAACTCCACAGAGGCTGGTATCCCATCACCAAGTCACCCTTTATTTACATGTGGAGAGTCAAAAGAACAAGAACAAAGAACAAAGAAAATTACAGCACAGGAACAGGACCTTCAGCCCTCCAAGCCTGTGCCGATCCAGATCCTCTATCTAAACCTATCGCCTATTTTCCCAGGATCTGTATCCCTCTGCTCCCTGCCCATTCATGTATCTGTCTAGATACATCTTAAATGACGCTATTGTGCCCGTCTCTACCACCTCCGCTGGCAACGCGTTCCAGGCACCCACCACCCTCTGCGTGAAGATCTTTCCACGCATATCTCCCTTAAACTTTTCCCCTCTCACCTTGAAATCGTAACCCCTAGTAATTGAGTACCCTACTCCGGGGAAAAAGATTCTTGCTATCCACCCTGTCTATACCTGTCATTATTTTTTAGACCTCAATCAGGTCCCCCCTCAACCTCCGTCTTTCTAATGTAAATAATCCTAATCTACTCAACCTCTCTTCATAGCTAGCGCCCTTCATACCAGGCAACATCCTGGTGAACCTCCTCTGCACCCTCTCCAAAGCATCCACATCCTTTTGGTAATGTGGTGACCAGAACTGTACACAGTCCTTGACACTGATCCAGCTCTTAGAGAGAACAGAACCTCTGACACCCCTGTTCTTATCTGTCAGCCAGGGCTCCCTGATTGGACCAGATTGATAGCCCCTCATATTCTAGGAGGTCCACCTGGCTGACCTTGTTACAATCATTACAGTACGCTAAAATGCGACAGGACCATGATAGGAAAAGGGGGCATTTTCCTACCTGATAGGCATCAAGCTGTTGAGCTGTGAAGATGGTCTGTTTGTTGCCCATGTTTTCTGGGTGCACCTCCCAGTTCCAAACTCTTCCCTTGATGTTGAGATATGAAGAAAACAAAGATGGAGCTAGCCGCATGATCAGGTTGCTGCCGTCATTGGCCTGCTAATACTGAATGATAATGGCATCATTTCATCCATTCTGCTGTACAAGAAGCTTCTGACTTGAAAAGCTGGCTGACCCTGTGTACGCACTTCTCTCACTGTGCCACCAACACGTTCACTTGTAGCTCATGTTACACACACCTAAAGCCAAGACAGCTAGACAGTAATATTCCAACAATATTCCAATTCATTATTTACAAGGATCTGACATTAACTATCTGTATACTCCTAACTCTGTGACTGTACCCATCCGTGGCAGTTACTATGATACTGAAGGTGATCACAATGAGTTCATGAAGGTAAAGAAAAGTCTAAAATTTGCCTCCAATAACTCAAACCCCATCAGAAACAGTTACAGGCTAGTGTTTGAGTCTAGAACACAAGGTATCTGTAGTTGCTGCCTGCTAAATACACTGATGTCTATATGCAGTCAGTGCTACTTGTGCTATTCATTGCCAAGAGGTGAGTAGCCATGGTGAGCAGGTAATTTAGAGATGAGGATAATAGTTAAGGACAACTAATACCTCTGTCAAAGAGGAGGCAAGTCAGGCTGTAAAACTTGAACTGCAATTCTTTCTGACTGAAGGAGAGACAGAGCTGATGGTGGGATTCTTTAATGCTGAGCTGAAAGCCTCTGTTCAAGCTGCAGTCAAGACGGGAATAGACACAGTTTTATGACTGTGGTCAGGATGTCCCCTACAAAATTTACTTTGGGAGGAGATTACTGAGTACATTGATGCTTCAAGTGTTCCAGAAGTCATGGACAGAATTCAGGAAAGGTTCATTGAGTTTGATAAGGTTCCCCATGGTAGGCTGATGGAGAAAGTGAAGTCGCATGGGGTCCAGGGTGTACTATCTAGATGGATAGAGAACTGGCTGGGCAACAGGAGACAGAGAGTTGTAGTGGAAGGGAGTTTCTCAAAATGAAGAACTGTGACCAGTGGTGTTCCACAGGGATCCGTGTTGGGACCACTGTTGTTTGTGATATACATAAACGATCTGGAGGAAGGTGGTCTGATTAGCAAGTTTGCAGATGACACTAAGATTGGTGGAGTAGCAGATAGTGAAGGGGACTGACGGAGAATGCAGCAGAATATAGATAGGTTGGAGAGTTGGGCGGAGAAATGGCAGATGGAGTTCAATCCAGGCAAATGCGAGGTGATGCATTTTGGAAGATCCAATTCAAGAGCGAACTATACGGTAAATGGAAAAGCCCTGGGGAAAATTGATGCACAGAGAGATCTGGGTGTTCAGGTCCATTGTACCCTGAAGGTGGTAACGCAGGTTGATAGAGTGGTCAAAAAGGCATACGCCATGCTTTCATTCATCGGACGGGGTATTGAGTACAAGAGTTGGCAGGTCATGTTACAGTTGTATAGGACTTTGGTTCGACCACATTTGGAATAATGCGTACAGTTCTGGTCGCCACATTGCCAAAAGGATGTGGATGCTTTGGAGAGGGTGCAGAGGAGGTTCACCAGGATGTTGCCTGATATGGAGGGCGCTAGCTATGAAGAGAGGTTGAGTAGATTAGGATTATTTACATTAGAAAGATGGAGGTTGAGGGAGGAACCTGATTGAGGTCTACAAAATCATGAGGGGGATGGACAGGGTCGATAGCAAGAAGCTTTTTTCCAGAGTGGGTGACTCAATTACTAGGGGTCACGATTTCAAGGTGAGAGGGGAAAAGTTTAGGGGAGATATGCGTGGAAAGTTCTTTACGCAGAGGGTGGTGGGTGCCTGGAATGCGTTGCCAGCGGAGGTTGTAGAGGCGGGCACGATAGCATCATTTAAGATGTATCTAGACAGATACATGAATGGGTAGGGAGCAGAGGGATACAGATCTTTGGAAAATAGGCGACAGGTTTAGATAGAGGATCTGGATCGGCGCAGGCTTGGAGGGCCGAAGGGCCTGTTCCTGTGCTGTAATTTTCTTTGTTCTTTGATTGTTGTTCTTGATTCAAGCTGTTCAGGTAAAAAGATTGTCAATATCCCTTTGAATTAAAACTGCACCTAGACATACATGGAGTCATAGAATCATTTATGGCTGCTTGCCTCATCAGGTTCCTGCCGGTTGTCTGAAAAGCAATTTGGTTTGTCCCATTCCCCTGGTCTTTCCCTACAGTCTGCTAATTTGTCCTCAAAATGCTCATCCAATCTCCTTTTGAAATCATTCATCAGCTCAACTTCTAGCACCAAACACAGGCATGATGGGCCAAATAGCCTCCTTCTCTGCTGCAACCATTCTGTGATTCATAAGCAGTGTGATGCAGATCAGAAATGCTCACTGTGTAAAAACGTTCTTCCCTCACATTCTATTGTATATCTTGCCCAAAACCTTAAATTTGGGTCCTCTAGTCCTTGTACCACTCACCAGTTGGAACAGTTTTGATTTATCGGCTGTCTAATCCTGTTCAAAATCTTGTACACTTCTCACAAATCTCCCCTCGAACTCCTTTGTTCCAAGGAGAATAATTCAAGTTTCTTTGACCTGATCCTGTTGCTAAAATCCTTCCATTCCAGGAAACATTTGGATCCTTCACATCTTCTCAAGGACTCTCACATCCTTTCTAAAGTGTGGTGGCTAGAACTGGATGCAATATTCTAGTTGTGGACCAGACAGAACTCTATAAAAGATTCCTTGGGTTGAGGAGTGGGGGTACAACTGTTAACCTTGCCTCATGTCTGAAAAATAACCATTCTTCATGACTGCCTATCTTCTGTTCTTAAACCGAGTTTTTTAACCACACTGACATTGACCTTCCTAAAGCACCCTTGAAGATGAGTTCGTAGAATCTCACTGAAAAGAGACACGTTATTGAAGCTTTGTCTTGTACGCATCAGGACAAATGCAAGAAATTCAAACAAACAGTCATAATAGCTAAAAACTCCAAGGAGGAAAGGATGCTGATTGAGTGGCAAGCAGACTCCAAGTGCCCTGGAGAAAGTAACATGACACTTTAGGTTTTCCATTCTTCCAAGAAAAGTTGCAAAATTTGAACATGTTCCTCAGAGACAGCAAGAACTGCAGATGCAAATTCTGAAGAAGGGTCCCAACCTAAAATGTCAACTTTCCTGCTCCTCCGATGCTGCCTGGCCTGCTGTGCTTCTCCAGCACCATATTGTGTTATCTTGAACATGTTGTTTGTAGTGAACACTTTCCTGCCTATGAATGTATGCTACTTATAGCAATATAAATGAGTTACAAGTTTACCTGATGGTTTTAAGCTTATTGTTAATTGGACTTGAAATGTTATACTCTTTCCGTCTCCACAGATGCTGTCAAGCCTATTGTGTTTTATTCAGAACTTGCAGATTATATTTCAGATTTTCAGCATCTGGAACACTTCGCTTTTATTTTAACTTTGTTGTTAGTGTAGTTAGGATGATTCAGCAAGTGCCACCCAATTGCATAGTTACATTTAACAGTAGACATTGTTTTGGGATTCATATGTGCAGACTGGTTTTGAACTGTCTGCATTCTGCCTGTTATAGAGTCATAGAGATGTACAGCACGGAAACAGATTCTTCAGTCCAACTCATCCATGCCGACCAGATATCCTAGGTTAATCTAGTCCCATTTGCCAGCATTTGGCCCATAACTGTCTAAACCCTTCCTGTTCATGTACCCATCCAGATGTTTTATAAATGTTTTAATTGTACCAGCCTCCACCACTTCCTCTGGCAGCTTGTTCCATACACGCACCACCCTCTGCATGAAAAGGTTGCCCCTTAGATTTCTTTTAAATCTTTTCCCTCTAACCTTGATGCCTCTAACTGCCGCTCCAATCGATCCATGCAATCCAATAAGATTTGCGACCAAACACATTTCCTGCAGACATAATCATCTTTAACATGCAAACTCTCCCTAGTCTCCCACGTCTGACAGGAAGAGCACATCACTCTACTAAAGGCCATCTTTTCACCTTAACAACCTACAGACCCAGAAAATAGCCCAGTCTTACTGCTCTAAAAACACTGCTTTGGCTAAAAATATAAAACAAAGGTACTAAGTTAAAGTTTAATCAAGAGACAGATCTCAATAAAAACATATCAAAAAGAACCCACTCTACTCACTATTGTAGACGTACAAAAACAATAAGGTTACACTTGAAAAACTTTTCAGTTAGCTGCTCACTGAAGTGAGCTCCCCCAGGTGGGTGCCTCCAAGGTCACCTGTGAATTTCACTGTTTTTCTTAGATGAACTCTGATGTACCAAGATACTTGAACTAAACAGCAGAGGCAGTCAGCAGTGCAGGTTCACTTCTGGTCTGTTTCACTTCCCGCATAGTCACTGCTTTATCTCTCTTCCTCCCTTTTAGAGTACCATTGGGGGAAATTAAAATCAAAACAAAGTTCCAAAATATTGCAGCAGCTTATAAAATGGGAATTACTGCTCCTAGAATTTGAGGAGATCAGCTCCAACACTAAGAATACCTCAAAGAAAAAGGAGTAGCTCTTACAGCTAGAAACATAAGAGATGTTTCGATCATGAGGGCCATGAGTCTTTGGAACTCTCTCCTTCAAAACACTTTGGAATCAGAATTATTGGATCTTTTCAAGGCAGAGGAAAGTAGATTTTTGATAGGTAAGCAGGTGAAAGGTTATGGGGAGGGGATGTAGGTTGGAATATGGAGTAATCAGATCTTATTGAATGGTAGGGCAGGCTCAAGGGGCCAAGGACCTGTTCCTACTCCAAATTCACATTCTTGCCTGATCAGACAATAGTTTGGATGTACAAAATCTGGGCATCTGGTATTACACTGAATTTCATATACACAGTAGCTCTATCAAAAATAAGTTATGACAGTAAATAAGGACTGATGAATATTTAAAGAAACAATTTACAACAGTCAATTTTTTTGGTATTTTTGTACAATGTTGGCAGCAAT